ACAATACTATTCTGGGTATAGATCATAGATCGCGTGATTCTATTCAGTGAATATGTTTCTCGCACATACACAAACACCACATAAACTTCACAACTCATATAGTATCAGTTCCTCTTGTAAGTTATTCAGGTTACGTTAAATAAACTAAGAAGCCAACATACATAGTAAAAATGGCTAAACCGCAATTGGTGGTGTGTAAGTAAAACACTGAATGAGTGGATGTGCTCTCACCAGAAGGCCAGGATGGGGGTCTAAAAGGAGGAAGCAGTGAGGCACTAACAGGACCAGCCTGAAGGCTTCTTGACTCCATGGCTGACAGGAAGCTCATAATCGAGGTCTCAGAAGTATTACTGCTTGAGTCAAGTGCTCCTGACAGCCAAAAGGAGAAAGGGAGGATGACCACAGAAATGGGCAACAAAGTAAATAAGAGTGTTAAAAAGGTTAGGTCACCCAAATTGCAAAAGTTCTGCAGCAGTCGAGCTACATTATCTACTCATGCAGACAGTTTTGCTAAGGTTTAAGATATCTGCTTCCTGCCTCTACTCTAATACAATAAATGGTGGAAAGAATTTAGTTTGTGGTGCTCAAAGCATTTATAAATGCCATGCTGAAAAAAAAAAAAGAAAAATTAGGCTTGTAAAGGAAATACCTTCTACTTAAGAAACTGCCCAATTAAAAAAGTGTCCACAGCAAGGCCTGTGAATTATCCAGACAGATTACTGTTGAGTTTTTAAAACGTTTTTCAGTACCACAAATGAAATTCAATTTACATCCATCAAATTGATTGGTGGGACATACATCACAGGGTGATCTCAAAAAAACCCAAAGCATATAGACATTTTCATCGGACGCGTTGCCAAGGTGATGCGCCCGGCCCGAAGTCAACTTCCGTTCTGCTTGTTTATTACTGTGTTTGTGTTTAGCTAATATGGTGAGTGATATCCAGTACAGCGTTTCCCATAAATCCATTTATTTGTGGCGGCCCACCACATTATCAGCGCTGACCTCCACATATTGATTTCAGTTTCTTTTTTTGTTTTTACTATTTAAGATGGGAAAACTTTGATTGCAGAGCTGCACGCAGCGCATATTTGCTCAGCACCTCCTCTCACTCGCGCCCTCTCTCTCTCTCCCCCGCAAACACATTGACAGCGGACCAGTCTGTATTGAATGGTTAGTATCATGAACACCGCTGCACAAATCCGTCCAACGTCAATGCGTTAATTTCGGGCCAGAGTAATGCACATGCGCAGTACCATTTGTTTATGTTGTTACCGCTGAAAGAGTCTATAAAACCAAAAATATCTGCATGACTAGATGCTAGATGGCTAGATAGTTAATGTCAAAGTAAGTTTACTGTAATTTGGGTAAACTGACCCTCTAAAAACAATGTGTATAGCATTCATAACTCACCTGCTGCAGCGGGAAGGTGTGATGTAGTGTAGGTGGGAAGCTGGTGGGTGGAAGTGTAGCTTTGCCGCTGGAGGAGCTCTGCATCAAGGTGTGCTGCACCATAACTGGAACTTTATCAACACACAAACACATACATGAGAGCTGTCATCTTCACAAGCAGCGTTGACCCAAGTAAATGACTTCTCTTGACATAGCACACAGAAATCAAACCTGAGGTAATCAGATGCAGCCAGCCTGAGCAAAAGTGTTCCCTTTTGGAGAACACAGAGGTGAAAGGGAGTCATCGGCCTCTTTTTCTGGTCCCCGCACAACAGCAATCTTCTGTTATGAAATCTGTCCCTGATATTTGACTATAGAGTTGAGAAAAACTAACATAGCCAAGGCCGACATACACTCCCTGGCCACTTTATTTGGTACACTTATACAATTTAATGCGATCCAATACAACAGCTCTGCTACATGCTCCACATTTCCTAAGATTATAATGTTTACTTTTGTTGACACTGTCAGAAAGGCATTAATTCAACTTTATGGTTAGTACTGAGGTCGTAGTTAGTGGTGCTGTTCTACTGGACTGCATTGTTTTGAAATCTGTTTCTAATACTCTAATAAATAGGGTGGACAAAACATTAATATAATGTTGTCCGGTACAACACTACTACAAACTACAACCTCAATAATAAACCTATATTTAAATGATTATACCTTTGATGATGATACCTCTCTGACAGTGTCAACCTCTCTGACAGTGTCAATCAAAACATTATTACATTAGTTAAAGCAAGACTCTACAGCTGTGCCGTTATATTGGATTACGTTAGATTTTAAAGGTGTACCTAATAAAGTGACCACTGAGTGTACCGAGCAAAGTACTGTAGGGCTGCACATGATATTGAGTAATCTTTTAAATTTTTTGATTCGATGATTGTTTTTGGTCTATAAAATATCAAAAGAAACAAATGCAAATGCATGTGTCTATTTTTTAGTGTATTCAACAGCAACACAAGCCCCTGGTATTGGGGTCATATAAGACAGGAGGAAAACTGAGATAATCTTCTGTAATCAGTGCAATCACTGTATATTTTACTTGATTAATCATTATAATAAACCAATTGTATACTGCTTTGATTTTTGTCACTCAAACAACTATGAGTTGACGAGTAAACATTTCTGTAGTGGATCATCTTACTTTATCTGCTCTGGCCTTCCTCTCAATGCTGTAGGATGATGATGTCTTATAAATTAACTGAAGAGTTGCTATTTATTTGTGCTGCTTATGAGCACAATCTGACTTATTCGAAGCAGATACTGAAATTTTGTTATTGAGGATGATACCTGTTCATTATTACAACATAGTACAACAACATTAGACTATAAACAGAATAATCTTGAGTTTGACTAAGTTAACTTAGAGCTCTGCAACTTTGGCAGTTTTTTTGGCTACATCAGGATCAGATTCAGAAATACTTTATTGATCATCCATTAACTCTATTTTATGAACTATAAAGTAAGTTAAAATGATGCCAAGGATTTTAATGGTCCTCTAACTCTTCCAACTAAAATAATGGCACAAATATGAAGACTTCGGCAAGTCGCCTCTTAAGTACTTTAACAACACCAGTAGCTATGTACCTCTAATTTGTGCCACAACTGAAATGATTAGCATTGGTGGCTAGTTACCTATCTTGTTTTGGCTTTGGCGAGCACCTGTGGGTGAGGAAAACAGGCCGATAAAATGCTAGTTTAAGCTGCCTAGCTGGTGAACTTCTTACAGACATGAAACAAATGCCTCTCTAGTTTGTACAAACTCTGTACAAGGCCATGCTGAGAAGACGGTGTGCTAGCAAAAAGGCTAGCAAGGTGGGAGAGAGTAACAAACGGCTAAGAAACCACTGCCAAAGCCCCAATAACTCCGATCAAACCCCGATATTGCCTCAATTCCTCCAGTGTTTCCGATAACAACAAGGACCTCCGCACTTTTCTCCAAAAGCAAAGCTAGGCCAACCCATCACCGACATTTCCTTCGGTAGGCGCCCTCTCCTTCATCTTTACCTTGGCTTGACACTAGCTGTGCTGCGGTCATAGGCCCAAGACGCTACGGTCTGTGCTGGTGGAGCCAGCGGGTCCGCAAAGCTGGAGGTCGGGTAGTTCCTGTCCATCATCCGGTGAAAGATTCACTTCCCCGACGGAGCTTCGTGGAGCAGCGGACACACATCGTAGCAGCCCGGGTCCGACCGACCAGACAGTCCCGTGAAATCACCGCACAGTCTGCAAAGTCCCCGTGAAGTGGTGCTATATCCTGGATAAAAGTGAACCTTTTGCCTTCTGAATGATTTCGTTAATTGTTGTTCATCTCTCGTCATGGAGAGCCGTGCAAACCCTGCATGGTTTCACGTACCCATGTTAGTTTATTTCCCAGGATGCACCGCAGACTTTGGCTGGAAGTTGTGTAGTTTTCTTTCCCTCCACCCTATGCCTTCAGCTGTCTCCCACCTTCCACGGTTCTTCAGATCATTTGAGAAACCAAAACCTTTTTTTTTTCTAAATTAGAACCTCCAAAATCCCCATTGGCAGGGATTAATTTCAGCCTGCCTCTGCTTGCATACAGTGGTGAAATTATTAGAATAACGCCAGGTTAATAGTCTTCTGTATATTTTCATTTCAACATCAACTCACAGTGAATTAAATAATGATAAATTGAGTCCTCCTGTTTTAGATGTCACTGGTGCCTGTTTGGAAACTATACAAAAATTGTTAGGTTTTGATGTAAACCCCTTTTGTTAGACTTTTTTTTTGGAATAACTTTTGTGCCTTTATCAGCAGCCATATTGATAACCATTTTATGTTAATTTGGAAATGTACCATTGGGCATCCTTGAACATGAATTTGAATTCTCAGCTGTAAATTAACTAATCATTTCATTTTATTGGCTACGTTTCACTTATAATAAATTTACAGATAAGAAGCCCAACGTCTTGGTATTCACAAACGGTAAACTGACTTGGGTTGGTTTTTTTTATAAGTTCAAAGGCTGTGAAAATATAAAATATAAGAAATACTTTTATTTTGATTAAAATGTTAATGTGAAATGTAATCACTTCCTGGCCTGGAACTGTTGACTTTTCTTCTGTACACCTTATGATTTTATCATGAATTTGTATTGTTTTGTATGGTACAAGGAATTTATACATGTTTACTGTATTTACTTAAAGAAAAAAAAATGTTTCTCTGTATTACTATTTTAAAATAAGGTAACCTCCTGTGGAGCCCTCAATACACCAGCCGGTAGCTAATTCATACAGTTTTCAGTCTTTTAACTACAAACGTACAAAATTTAATTATAGTACAACAGATGAGTTCAAATCTGATTGACAGTGACAAAACATGAGGATAGTTGTTTTGGTCTCAAATCTGTACACTTTGGAAATGGGATAGTCAGCAAAGGAATATACATTTTTCTTCCGATATGGCTGACCAAACCCTCAAAGCTGATCATATTCACACTAAATATCAAAATGAGAATGGGTACAAAGCCATCTTGTGCACACATACAAAACCTTACATACAGTTGAAATATGACACAAAAATAATTAAAATATCCATTTTATTTAAAACTATAAAAGATTTACATTTCAAGTAGGTATGCTTCAGATCAGCTTCACCAAAGCTAGCCCTCAATACATTCTCATAATCGCATGATGAAACTTAGTGGTAATTTACAGGGACATAGCTTCTTAACTCTTAAGCATCCAACAGGCTTGTATAATGCTCATTCAAACTGCAGTTTTAAAACAAAGTGACATATTAGACTACCTTTACAACTGCTGAATTACATTTTAGCGGTCAAATTCATCACATCTATAATTGTCTTGTATAATTGTAAAATGTTCTCTTTGTGAGTGTAAAAGGTTGTAAAACTGTCTTTGAAGAGCTTCCGCCTTGATATACATAATACATTTAATAACTAACCACAATGTACGATATTGAAAGTAAAAATGTCTTTACATATTAGAATATAGTTGTTATATTAGTTGACTCCAACACACATTTCCTAACACAGCAGAACTTTATAAAGCAGCAATAAAATCTGCATATTTTTAAAAAGTAAAAAGATGATGATATGCAACTCAAAGTATAAAGTGAATTTTAAAATAAGCCGGTAGACCAGCGCATCAAAAATACTTCAAAGCACTTTCTTTACAGCAATATTAACCATTATGCCATTAAAAGCAGTTTTGTTGTCACTATTCTGAAGGAGACTTTAATTGCAATTAATACTCGTGTAATAAAACATAATCGTAATCTAGCTATCAGCCCTTCTATACATGCCGTTTCTAAAGCAACTACTTAAATATTCCTGTCTTTATGTCTAAAGCATTGTTGATTCTTCATTGGCATTTATACAAAAAGTAGCAAACTGGGTACAGTGTATTCAACACAGGGTAGGGTTGTTATATTACAAAGCACAATCACACCGGCAAAAAGAGTTAGAGGCTACTGTAATACTACATTCTGGCACAAGCAGGTTGAGAAAGGGTAGCAAAAAAAATTGACAAGAGCATTCTGCTAAGGAAAAGGTACACAAACTGACCAGAAAGATTAGACGTGTATGAGTGGAAGAAGAGAGCTCAATGAGAGCAATAAACAGAATGCATAAGGCACCGTTTTAAATCTTGTGATGAAGAAAAAAAAATTGGTTTGGCACATTACAAAAGAGGAGCAGCAGCTGTAAAATGTTTGCTTAATGTTGACAGACAGGCTGATTTGCTGTTCTGAAGATACTACCGCCAAGTACTTCCAGGTCATGAGCTAAAACCAAAAATAAGAAAAAAATGTTATAAAAAACATGCGTGAGTGGAACAGGTACATCCAAACTGTGCAAGCATTACCTGACTGCAAATGTGTATGAGGAAAACATGAAGACTGAGTTTAAATATAACCTCAAATACAAAAGCATATGCAAATACCCAGGATAGGGAGGAGGTGGGGCGTCATGCTGTCCACTTTTAGCGATTGCCTGCTCATAGGAAGGCAGCCCTGGCGGGTCGATTTCCTCCACAGGGGGTGGGTGTGCAGGTGGGAGTATAGGTTGTAAGGACACCTCCTCCAGCCGTCGCATTATTAGAGAAGCATTAGTCCTTCTCGGTCGTACCCGGATGGAGCTGTGAGGGGAGTGTAGACACACACATTATATTTAATTCATATGTGATCTACTTGATGCTTAAAAGTATTGACATTTAAGGTCAAAGTCAACTTCATTTATTCAACATTTGTTCTGCAGGTTCCCCAGCACTTCATGTATGACACAAAGGGTGATAATAAGCACTAAAATGTTGGGTCTAGAGTTTAAACAATTAAATTGATTGAAGTTAATCTGCAACTATTTTGATAACTGACCAATCAATTCCCAAGTAAAGATGTGTAAGACTCACTGGTTCCCGCTTCTCAAATGTCACGTACGAAAGTAAAGTGAATATCTTTGGGGGGGGTTCACACAATACAAGCAATTTGATTATGTCAACTTCAGGTTTGGGAAGTTGTAACATTCACTGTTCATTAGACAAAATAATTATAAAAAAAAAAAAAAAAAAAAAAAAAGGGTCAGATGAATTCGATATTGAAAACAACTGTTGGTTGAAGAAGCACTTAACACAGAAAATGAAAACTATTTGAAATATTCCAACTTTTGTTACATACGGTGTAAACAAATGTTCAGTTTGTCAGTTTTTTTATAGTGCCTGGGATTATAGTGCAACAGAGTTGTAGTAGTAGTGCCTGTTAGGTCTAAAAGGCTAGAAGTGTGCAAGAATAATGTAGCTGCCATTAGTAGTAGTAAAGACCCTCTCACTCACTTTGCACGGCTGAAGTCACCCTTGCATTTGCCTTGACAGAAATACCAGATCAGGAGGCCGACAAAAACAATGGCCACTCCGCCAGCAATCAGCCCCACCAATAGAGATGTCACATCAACGCGCGATGGGCCTTTGTCCTTATCTGTGAGACACAGACCACAGTGAGAATCTGGATAACGTTGAGCTTGTTTGATAATGGCACTGAATTGTACTGTACATAATAAAAAGTAGCCACCTGCATATCACATGGTGGTTCTTCTTTTTTATCTGATATTGATTATTTGGTAGAAGAACATTAGAGAAGTATAGTTTGATTTTCTACATTAGTAGAAATACTGTTATTAAATCTATATTCAGAACTCAGTCCTCACAACTAATGCAAAACAAATGCAGAGGTAATGTCCAAACCACAATTGGAATTTGTGCAAAGCAATTATGTTCTTAACTACTGTGCGCTGTACGAGTGGTGAAACAGGTTTGGAAAACCACATTAACATAATTGTCTACAGGAAAGGCACAAGTGTTCATTAACAACAACAACAACAAGTCTACACTACTATGGTAATTAAATTTGATAACATTGCCCAACACTTGTAACAAATAGATTTCTGTGTCTCTCTCTCTTACCTGCAGTGTATTTCTTCCAAAAAGCTTCCTGCAAAACAAAAGATCATTAGTGAACTCTGACTTTGAGGCCTTCTCCCTCTTTGGGCTCATGAAATGACCCCAGTGAATGCCCCGCTGAACAGCATCACTTAACCGTATCCGGGATGTTTTCAAAGACCTCCCTTGCTTCCTCGTAATTGCAGACTTCTTCATAGCACTCCCTTTCAAGATTTCCAGGAACGAACATCTCAAAGTCAAACCGGTTGAACAGTAGATGGCGACCCAGGAACGAATTTGCGTCCCCCTCATCTACAAACACTAAGAAGCAAGTCCAAACAGATGAAATGATTATCAGGCCATCAGGCTACAGTGGACGAATGTGTACTTCTTCAGTAAAATAGCTCACCTTCCTGGTCGTGTGCTCCTTCATGTTTCGAAAGTAAGGTCCTCATACAGGCCAGATCTCCACATGACAGGAGTTGAAGGAGTATGAACAGACTGAACAACATGATCACGCGTGCACCTGCGCGCGGATAGCGGGTGGGGCATTAATTGGTAGTACAATGACAAAGTACTTCAACAACGCACCCAGCCTCTTCAAACTAGTATATATACGCTTTTCTTTAACCCACCAGCACCAGATACCCATATATTCTACATTAGCCTACCTATGATCAAAAGTGACACATAATGATGAGCAGAGTTCAACACCAACAAAATGAAACATATATGAGGGAGCGGCGGTACGTATTCCCAGTCTCGACGCTGATAAGATGAATCAGGAAACGTTGAGCGATACTCAGTCACAAACAACAGCTGTGCTCCGCAACTTCCTTTGAAAAAAGCTGCGGCGTCATCCTAAAATATAATAAAGTATAACTGAGATGGTCCCTGAGGAACCCAATCCATTTCCGGTAGGTTAAAATAGGTTTTGTTTACTCCCGAAAGACGTGGACTCTGCTCTTCTTAAACTACCTGCGCAGACTCAACCAATCGATCACGTTTACCTGGATAATATGATGAGTTCTGGAAATGAAAGTGGACGCTAGATGGCAGCTGAAGCATCGAAAATAAAAGTGCTTTCAGAGAATTTTTTCACATGGAAGTATTAAATTACACATTCGTCATCTGACTCCTGACTCTGAGTCAGATTCAACCGAAGCCTACTCTCAACGGCAAATCATCAGGCCTTTACTCGTCATCATAGGCCTAAACAGCACTCCGTGACTTTCTGATAATGTCTATTTTTTAGGCTTATTAAAGCTAATTAAAGAAATCTTTTCTCAAAAGTAAATATCAAAAATGTAATGTAATGTCAAAAAGGACAAAACAAATAAAACCGTACAAAATGGATAAATACTTGTTACAACTAACCTACTGAAGGCTTTTTGACACACTAATATATCAACTGTATGTATTGTTTGAGCTTAATGCTGTAGTGCAGTGGTTCTCAAAGTCCGGGACACCCAGAGGTCCTTGAGGGGGTCCCCAGCAAAAGGAATAATTTTTTTCCACTATAATTCCATCCATAAGTAACACAGTAACAGATAGTGTGACTATTTTGGTGATGGGTTTCATACACTGTATTTATTTTGTAAACAAGTTCTTTTTTTTGGTTTTAATGTTGACAGAAAAATCATCTACAGATATACAGATATACACACACTCACTCCCTCATTCACTCACTTCTACCTTCTCACCTCACTTATTCCCTTCCTCAGTCTTGTTGCATGGAACCTAAATTGTACATTGTTATGGAGTGTCTGTTAGTTTCATGGTATATTGTGCATATACATAACACTACATAGAACAAATAGAACATAATAATAATGTAATGTATGTAATAATGTACAAACGTGCGTATCCATACATCCCAGAACATAAACTAGCTTCTACACACTAGCAAATACATGAGTGTGCCTGCACAGCCATGATAAAACATCTAAAAGCCAAAATCCTATCAGATGGGCGATCCTGGGACAAAATCCTATCAAATGGGGGTCCATGGTCTAATTTGTGTCAGTTTAGGGGTCCTTGACGTGAAAAAGTTTGAAAACCACTGCTGTAGTGTTTACAAGGTAGCTTTTTAATGTAGGTCACATTTTACACACTGACATCATGGTTTCCTAATACTTTTATTATATTACCTGTAATTTAACCTAAAATGTTCTGTGATTTAAAGGGTCATTTTACTTTAATGACCCTTTAAAGCGACAAATGCCATATTTTAGCCTAAACATCTGAACTACTTCAGCCTGAATGTTTACAATGTTGTATCTTCACTTCTAATGGGTGGGCACAAATCATTGTTGTAAACACGATGCTATCTTTTTGAATCTTCGCATCAGAACTCTTTTAAAAGCACTAAACCTCCTCTCTCAAGATCTCTCGGTAGCTCAGGAGCTTTTGACTACACCGCTCTTCACAGGCCTCGTATGGGAAAAGGTTGTGTAATGGGCTCTGAGGTCATTTTGACAGAGAAGATGCATCTGTGATAAAATACACTTAGTTTAGCTTTTTCCACCTCAAAGAATGGTGACTATAGTAATTTTAGAGACACTGCAAACTGCAAAAAACGCAGCACAGTGAAGATTCTGTCTGGCAAACCATCCTCCATAATAGTGTTTATGTTTCACACTCTCCATGTAAATACACATATCTGTCTCTGAGCCTCCGGGCCTCTTGGCGAGTGTTTATGTAAAGCAGAGATAGGATACAATTGAACAGTATCTCTCTGACTACTGGATGGTGCTAATTGAAGTGCAGTGAGAGCCCGTCTCTTGTTCTTGGCTACATCTCTGGATACTGTCAGAGTATAAGATTTACCCAGAGGAATGTTGATACGAAGAAAAGGGGTGAAGAAAAAGAGAAATACTGGACTACATGTAGTGTGTGATGTCAGATGATATTGCCACCTTATACCACATAGTGCCATATCAGTGTTCTAATGATTAATAGTGTCTCACTGCTGGTGATCTACATCAGCTCACACACAGCAATTTTTGATGCATTAAAGGTCCAGTGTGTAATATTTAGGAGGATGTATTGACAGAAATGCAATATAATACCCATAACTATGTTTTCAGTGGCTTATAAAGACCTTACATAATGAACCATTATGTTTTTGTTACCTTAAAATGAGCCTTTTTTTTTACATGGATGTCGCCATGTTGTGCCACCATGTTTCTACAGTAGCCCAAACGTTCAAACTACTTCACAGAGCGTGTTTTCGTCACTACGTTGAATATGTATGAAGAAGAAGAACAAGTAGTAGTCATCTGGTTTGTTAGAAGTAAGAAAATAATTATTTAGCACAAAAGGTGACACAGCTTTTAGCCACCTAGCTTCTCCTGCATGCTTGGAAAGGGAGGGGTGAGTGGTGACTGATGGTGCATTCATGTGGTGTCGTAGAAGTATACAGAACTTTGATTTGTGCCTAATCCTGTATTGTATATACATATTTTGCAAACATTTAATTTGGAATAACAGTTAGTTTGCTGTCCATGTAGAGTGAAATGGATGTCTGCGCGTTGTTTATACGGTCTGATAATGATACTCCAACACATCTCTGTAGTAGCGTCCATGTTGATTCCACATTCTGAGAGCACATGAACACACACTGAAGTCATAAGAACGACTTCACAAATTGGGAAATGGGACCATCCAACGAGCATGTGAATGCAACATGAGCCTCAACCCTCACCACTAGATGCCACTAAAGCTTACACACTGACCCTTTAATGCATCTCTTTAATATTGTATGTTTTAAAAGTACAATATTTCCCTCTGTAATGTAGTGGAGTAGAAAGTAGCACAAAATAGAAATACTCAAGTCAGGTACAAGTACCTCAAAAAGCACAGTACTTGAGTAAGTGTAATTAGCTACATTCCACCACTGCCAATACTACAATGTAAAAATACTCTCATATAAATACTCCAACTCTTATTATAAGTAAAAGAGAACTCAAAATCCTACTTCAAGAAAAGTACAAAGGTTCCATCAGCAAAATGCACGTAAAGTATCAAAAGTAAAAGTGTTTCTGTGGAGAAAAATGGTCCCTGACAGACATATTACAATATATTACAATAATAAATTGTTAATACTGATGAATCAATGCGTAAGCAGTATTTTACTCTTGCAGCTTGTTGAGGAGGCGCTATATTTGATTGTTTATATAGATTTAGGTAGTTTAGTCCAGTGGTTCCCCACCAAGGGGTCAGGCCCCTCCAAAGGGACACAAGATAAATCTGAGGGGTGGTGACATAGTTAGTGGAGGAGGAAAGAAGTTCTGCTAGTTCTGCTTTTTTTGTGTGAAATATTGGATAATTTTACCTCTTTGGTGGACAGTTATTTCTATTAATCCATCTAAGGAATTCAGAGAGGAAATCTTTGTTGGAACCATTAACAACTCATATACATCTGAAACCCCAACGTGGGGCCGCAATAAGACACTGCTTTTTGGTAAGAGGTCACAAGCCAAAAACATTGGAAAACACTGGTTTAATCTGTAATCATTTTTACGTATCTACATGCTTTTTATACAAACTCTTAATCTGAAAAGTAACTTTTGATCTATAGATATAAAATAAATGTAGTGGAATTACAAATTACAATATTTGTAATTTATATTTAAAATGGAAATACTCAAAATTCAGTACAGTACTGGAGCAAATGTGCTTTTATTCACTAAACAATGTAGAACTACTTCTATCTGACTGTGATAAGGGTTGTGGCATTTGCGCCAGATAAACCAACCACAGCACACAGTATTTACATCTGGGACATCTCACACGAGGGACCATCCACATAACATAACGTTACTGAAAGCGTGTGAGACAAATTACAGAAGGAAGATCTTTCCTATCCAGGATGAGAAAAGTAGCTAAGAAGCAACTTGCTCGCAGAGGAAAGGCATGTATGCTGAGAGATGGAAACCAAGCTGTAAGGCTTTGCAAACATTCTGTTAAGCCTTGGTCACATTAGTTTCTATCTGCTCTGCGCTCCACCTTGTGGGTGGTTGCGATGAGGTTATGCTCCTGAGAATGTGTTTTGTGATTTACATCCACTGATAAGAGTCAGAGATGCTGCTCCCTTTGGACAACTGGACAGAAGTGAGCGGTGAGCCTCTGCAGACCTCTGGTATGATAGGAAAAAGTGCACACACTGCAGCAATAATTATATTCCTCAAATGTCCATTTCTTCTGAGAAAAAAATATTTTAGTGGCAGGGCTGAAAAGATCATATTATGACTTTGCTCTGTAAAGAATGAGGAGTGGCACACAACAAAAAACAGGCGTAGCTGTGGCTTTATTAGTCAAAGAAAGAGCAACGTGTGTTGGGGGTGGGGATTCAAACAGTGCATTGTCAGTACTCTGCACTTCGTCAGTTTGTGCTGATTTCATCACAGCCCCATAGGGAGGAGAACTCCAACAGACCCCTTTTACACCTAATGCATGGGCACCATATATCATTAGAGTTCACATCCTAATGCTTTGGACCGGTGCCTGAGAACAGATGTCTGTGAGGGATAAATTACACTTTACTTTGCCATCACTGGGCAAACATAATCTGAACTTTAAAAAAAAAATTAAAAAAAAAAGGAAAAAAAAGTAAGAATTTTGGAGGTCCTTGTTTTTCTACTTTGACAGTGAGTCGCGCTGACTACACTTGAACAGTATCTATTAACCCAGTGGAGTTTCACATTTGTAGCGGCAGTAAATCAGTCTCCGCCACAAGTGTAAGTGTTGACGCTACAGTAATACAGCTCTGACCTCAGCAGACAGGGTCATCTTAAGTTCACATTACTACTGTCACCTCTCATGTGCTCACAGACAAGCTACCCTCTTACTGCAGGCTATTTCTCACCCTGAGACACAGCTCGTCTAACACGGGCACGCGGTCCTTTAACTAAAGCCAGATGTTGAGAGCCGCTAGAGGTTCAGCCCCCGTTAAAGTCGCTGCATGGCTTTCTGAAAAGATGATTAGGA